GCTGCTGCTGATCCTCGGTGGAGGGTGGCCATGCAGGATGAAATTCGGGCACTGGAAAATAATGGCACATGGGAAGTTGTTTCTCTTCCCTATGGAAAACGTGCTATAGGTTGTAAGTGGGTGTATAAAATCAAGCACAAGTCTGATGGTTCGGTTGAGCGCTTTAAAGCGCGTCTTTTTATTTTGGGAAATAATCAAGTGTCTGGTATTGATTACCATGAGACCTTTGCTCCTGTTGCTAAGATGGTTACAATTCGGTTGTTCTTGGCTGTCGCAGCTGCCAAGCATTGGGAGGTGCATCAAATGGATGTCCACAATGCGTTTCTTCATGGTTACTTAGATGAGGAGGTGTACATGAAGCTTCCCCCCGGCTTTCGGACTGGTGCATCTGATCAGGTGTGTCGACTACGTCGCTCTCTTTATGGGTTAAAACAAGCTCCTCGGTGTTGGTTTGCCAAACTTGCTACTGCCTTGTCACAGTATGGTTTTTCTCAATCCTATCATGATTACTCTTTGTTTACTCTTCATCGGGGTTCTGTTTATTTAAATGTGTTGGTGTACGTGGATGATTTGATTATCTCTGGGAGTGATTCCACTTCTATTGTTGCTTTTAAGAGTTATTTGAGTCGATGCTTTCATATGAAGGATTTGGGCTTTCTGAAGTATTTTTTGGGAATTGAGGTTGCCCGGAATTCTTCTGGTATTTTTCTTTGTCAGCGAAAATATGCCCTTGATATTTTTTCAGAAGTTGGCTTGTTAGGTGGGAAGCCCGCTGCTATTCCTCTGGAGCAGAACCATCAGTTGCCTCTTGCTGAAGATGCGTTATTAGAGGATCCTGAGAAGTACCGCCGTTTGGTAGGTCGTTTGATTTATTTGGCAGTTACTAGGCCAGAGTTGTCATACTCTATTCATATGCTGGCTCAATTTATACATCAGCCACGTAAGGCTCATTGGGATGCTGCCCTCCGTGTGGTTCGTTATTTGAAGGGCTCACCTGGTCAAGGTATTGTTCTACACTCTGATTGTGATCTTCAGTTCTATGGTTGGTGTGACTCCGATTGGGAGACTTGTCCTCTTACTCGTCGCTCTCTTACTGGGTGGTTTATTCAACTGGGTCAATCTCCTATTTCTTGGCGTACTAAGAAACAACATACCGTAGCACGCTCCTCGGCAGAAGCTGAATATCGTGCTATGTCAACCACTCTCTGTGAGCTGAAATGGTTGCGGGGTTTATTGTCTAGTCTCGGTGTGTCTCATACTCAGCCTATGCAGCTTTTCTGTGATAGTCAGTCTGCTCTGCATATCGCCGTGAATCCTGTCTTTCATGAGCGCACCAAACATATTGAGGTTGATTGTCATTTTGTTC